ACACACACACACACACACACACACACACACACACACACACACACACACACACACACACACACACACACACACAGGTTTGCCCAGGTATACATTTGGGGACATTCCATTGACTTCCATTACATACAGCCTAACCCTGACCACAAACCCTAAGGCTAACCTCACAGGTACCTACCTGACCCTAAAACTAACCTAAACTCAATTCACACCTTGGTCCTAAACACAACCCCCCAACCCACCAATCGCATTTAAACCAAATAGGGATTCGACTTTTGTCCCCAAATAAACCAATTGTCCCCAAATGTAGGCGTTTTGTCTTAAAATTGCCCCCAAATGTCACCAACCACCCCCCCCCCAGCCCCCGCAACTCACACACACACACACACACACACACACACATAGGCATGGTCTAGTACAGCTATCTTTATGGGGACATTCTACAGCCTAAACCTGACCCCTTACCCTAAACCTAGCCTCAAAGAGCCATACCTGACCCTAAATCTAACCTGAACTCATTTCACACCATAGTCCTAAACCAAACCCCCACCAATGGTATTTTCCCCCATGAGGTGAAGGGCCTAAGTCCCCATAAAAACTAGTTGATCCCCACAAGTAGGTGCAAATGCCATAAAATTGTCCCCGCATATGGGAATACCTGTCCGCATGCACACACACACACATTTGTTCTTTTATCCTCACAGGGCCATTGCATTGACTTCCATTCATTTATCGATCATTTCTAACCCTGACCCCTTTGGTTTTGGACTTACAGAAGACATAATGCAGACAAAATATCCAAATTTAGAAAATTCATTTGATTTATTTGTGGCTTGTTTAACATGAAAAGCAACACAAGCAGTCTTTTAGGATTTTAGTTGATTCATAATGAGTTTCATGTATATCTGGAAATGAACATCTAACATTTTGTCAAAGGCTTCTGCAGTTAAAATATATTTAAATAGTAAAAAACAGAGACAGGCCAGATAAAGGCCCATTTACAGACTGCACAGGTTCATACACACACACAGATCCACTTACATAAATGTAAATCTGAAGACCACAAAGTGATGGACAGAGGCATGTGCACATCAGGTGTGTTTGTAAAAGAAGAATGCCCAGAAAGAAGTGCTGTGAAAGTATTACTGAAGGAGGTCTTTGAACAGTGTTAAATCTATAATCTTTCTTGCTATCCCTCCAGATTATAATTTGTTTTCTGTGCTGAAAGAACTTCTGCCCTCTTCAGTGATTGAACAGTTAAATGCTGCTGTCAGTGGGTTTTAGCTCAGCCTGTCCACAGCTTTTGTCCCTTCCACACACAGCCATCCCTCCCTCAGAGGGTAAAGCAGCAGAAGCGCACCTCAGGGACTCAGCTGTCTCTGCGTTGGTGTCCCTGCCAGACGTTACGGTGGCTTTGAGGTAGCACCTCCTCAGCCCTCGTTGGAAAGGGATGGTGAAGAGGCCGTAGATAACTGGATCCAGGCAGGTGTTGAAAAGCCCAAAGATGAACAGGATGTGGGTGAGGGAGTGGGAGACTTTTCCTTCCAAGTCGTCAGGGAAGAACCAGTACCACAGACCCAACAGGTAGTACGGAGTCCAGCACACGATGAAGGAGATCACTATGACCATGCTCATTTTCAGAGTTTTCATTCGAGCTTTTGGGATGTTGTTCTTGGAGCATCGGAGATGTGGTTCGTTTGAGGACACTTAGCAGAAAGAAGGAAAAATATTTTTGACACGAGCATCATCAAAAACATACAGCAAATAATGCATTTAGATGAGTTAGCTYATAAAAGCGCATGATGCAACACATTTGACAGATCAGAACATCAGCAGATTTCCTCTCTCAAGTTAAAATGTGTGTTTAATGTGTGTATGGGAGTTGTATAATGGAAAATTGACTTTTTTGAGCTTTATATCAGATTATTTATATCAGGAATTACAAACTAAATTTAGTCTAATCTAGAACTCTTGTAGGTTGCATGCAGAGATCGTGAAGTTTTTGACATAATCTTAACATTACACCTTTAGTACATTTCATGGGATGGGATATTATGAGCCAAAAACAAAATAAGAAGATGAACTTTCACTTTGGCGTTACAGTATTGTGTGTGAGCCACAGTTTCCCAGAAACACAACGTGACAACGTTACCCAGAATAATCTACGACATCAGGAACCTGCTGGGCAACTGTGAAGGGAAGTGGTAATTGTTGATGGGGTGTGTATCTTTGTTTGGTTTTTTTTTTCAGGTAGGAACCTCACCTGTAATCACTTCAACTACAGCTGCAGGTGTGACCAACTTACTTGATGGAGACACACCTTCCCCTCAGGGCTGGCTCTTTCAACTCTCTTTAGACTGTAACTACTCATTCCTTTGAGTTTAATAAAACCATTTTAGTTAACGCCACCTTTTTTGTCTAGTTTTCTCATTATGTTACAGTGGTTGTTGTAGCAGTAATGCTACGGAATAACAGAAAAACAACAGAAAAGGAAAGGTGGTAGAGAAAACAGAAATATTTTATACTTGGTTACACAGCAACAAAACAGCTGCTGAAGTCATCAGTCTGGTCTTAGCAACGCCCTTCATTTTGCACATTTCCCAGGCTTTGTTTGGTCTTTCTTTTTAATGTGTGTGAAAGTGGATATTGACTTGGATTTGTGCACTCACAGCTCTTTTTTGTCATGTGCTTGGAGATCTGGATGAAGATCCTGGTGTAGCAGATGATCATGATGGCCAGCGGCAGCAGGAAGAGGCAGCAGAATGTGAACATGTTGTAGGCCGTTTCCTTCCAGTGAGAGTCGAAGCTTCCCCGGGTGGTGCACTGAGTGAAGTTTGCTGGATAAGTAATGGTGACGTTGTGGAAAATGAACATCTGTGGGATTAACAGTTGGAATTTTAGATATTTTTTCTTTTTTTGTCATATAAACAAGTGAAGCAGTTACCCTAACTCTTTCATCTTCTAACACCCTCATAAATATCCACCCATTCATTCTCTTTTGTGTCGTCCTTTCAGGGTCACTGGTGCCCATGTCTACAGTCACTGTGTGAGAAGCAGGGTACAACACTCACTCACTCACACCTAGGGACAATTTTGAGTTATAAATTAGCCTAACAGTCATGTTTTTGGTCTGTGGGAAGAAATCTAAAAATAAAACCCCATATAAACTCTACCCAGGTTGGGATTTGAACCACTAACCTTCTGCTGAGAAGTAATAGCTCCAGTTCTACCAACCGAGCCACCCCTTCATAATTTGGGTAATTTGCTTCTAAACAGTTCAGTTCTTATTACTGCATTTGTACAAATCAAAATATGTAGTAGCCTATGAACCGGACAACAAACATTAGAATTAATAGCTTTTTTAATAACACGGTCTGGACTTTTTAACATGTCTTTTACACACTTATTATTATCGCTAGCAGTCAAAATGCTAAAGGTGGACCACAGTGTGTTTGCTCGTGTCTGAATCTGTGTGTTCATTTGTCTGACTTTATATCTAAATACAGTATCTCATGAGCACAGATGGGAGTTGGGAAGAAATAACTGGATGAACGTCTTCAGCTGATTAACTTTTGGAGTTATCACTTTTAGCCAGTTTTACATTTATTGAGTTAAAATGTGGTGAAAGCAGCCGAAAGCTGTCCCCAATACATTCTTTCAGTGCTTCACATTGTGCAACATCTTTACTTTAAACTTTAGCATTGCAGTAAGCTCTGTCTGTCTGTTAGTAAAATATCTTATGAACCACTGGATGGATTTTAACTCACACAGTCTTCTGTTAACAGGTTGAAGCCTCTCAAGAAAGAGCAGGAATTTACTGAGGACCTCCAAACTCTGCAGTTTACTGCCATGATCTTTGCAAAACCTTTTGTTCAAAGAATTTAACCAGATAAGAGTTTGTAATTATTAATGAATCTCGTTATGTTTTTTATATTTATTTTTATGCGAAAATCAAATTAAAAAGGTTAATTAGCTCACTAGCTAATGTTAGCATGATGGAAACTAACATCAACATTAGTCGATATTAAGAAAGAAGGTCAGCACAGGGTACAGTGTTTTGTTACAACTATTTATGTTTGTTGGGAAAAAAATCAGTTTGTTGAGTCGGTTTCATCCTAGTTACCTGTACAAACATCCCTCATCCTGTCTGAGAACTGATAAGATGAACTCAGACTCTGTCAGAAAAGTTGTAGTTTCCACTGGAGTCCTAAAATTTAATTTGCTCTCCCAACAAGCGGTTTTATCAGTTATATTTGATTTAGCAGCTTTCGTTATTTAGTGAAGAGAAATAAACACAAGCGAGACATCAAGCAGAATATCTGGATTAATAAAATCTGTGCTCTTCTCCATTCATAAATGTGTCGTATTTTCAGCATTTTCAGTTTATTCTACGGTCTCTTCGACTAAGAATATTCTCTCTTTCCTTTCAGAAAAACCAAGGACTCTGCGTTGCTTTGTGTTGTCAATTATTTTACATAAATAAACGTGACGGTTTTTATTTAACTGTTATTTCCTCTGGAGTCATACATCTAGATTGCGATCAGTTGTTGTTTTATTTTACTTGTTGAAGTTTATTTACATGACTTAAATCAGCCGATCTAACCAGCAGGAAAACAGACTCCCATATTTTTCTCGAGAACTAAATATACACAGACATAAGCTGATTTGCAACTGACTCCAAAGACGACCAAAACAACACAATGTACTATGTTGTGTGTCGTCATCAGCCCTCCTGTGAGAATGTTTATGTGCTGTGTCCATCAATGATGGGCTTTCTGATGAAAATGTTCAACTAAATCCACTGAATTTAAATCTGAATTAGAAATTACAATCTGAAAATCACCCTTTTCTATTCATACGGAGTGCTCAAGGTGTTTTCCCTTTAAGTCATGTTCATCCACTCACACACAATCATAAACACTACCACCCCCCCCCCCACCAAAAAAAATCCTCCTCCCTCTTCATCCTCCTGTCTTGCAGCTAATAATCCCCACAGTAATGTTCACTCCCTCCTCACCAAAAACACTCAAAGAACAATAAAACATCCTCTCGGGAAAAAGAAAGGTACAGAACGATCTGTACAAGAGGATTTAGAGGTTAAGGCAGAGGTTTGAACCTGGCACTAAAATGATATTACTGATCACTAAAGACCTTTGTGTGTTTTATTGCTGCAGGCTCAAAAAACAAATGCAAGTCAAAAAAGACATGATCCAACGGTTTAACTATGCTGAGCTATTTAAACACATTAAGAATGTGAATATTTACTTGAAAATTGTCCTCTCCCTTGCATTAATTGCATTAATCATTCTCATTTGAGGTATTAAATTTGAGATATTGCACTGTAATGTTTGGTACAGAAATAAAACCCACGCTGGAGGATCCGGAGACAAACAGGAAGCTGATTCCAGAGCAGAGGGGCTTAAAAACTAAAAGTTTGCCTCCCTGTCTCCTTTTAGAGATTCTTGGAAGATCAAATGAAAGCTGAAAGCTGGGAGCGGAGCGATGTCTTATGGAAAAATAAAGGACAAGAAGTTCTTTGAAATAAGACACGGTGCCAGGCCGTTAGGGGTTCTCTGTGTGTGTGGTGACGTTGAAATGAATCCTGAACTTTATGCCGCAAACATGTGGTGCAGTTTTTCAGGATCACTTCAGGATGAGAAGCTCCTGACTTTAACGAGGAYGTGGATCATGTTCATAACATCTGTCTGGATCCAGGGAAGCGTCTCTGCTGCCTGGTGATTCTCATGAAATGTACGTGAATCATAGAGCTGCACTAACTTCCTTTGACTCCTCAAGGCGTGCAGAATGATTCATTGTTCAACGACTCTGGCAAACGTCACATTTTATTACCACACAGACATATGGACACATGATTAAATAAGTGCATGTTAATGCAAATGTCAAGAGAAATAATAATATATAGCCCAGCACATGTGCCCCTGAGCACTCTTTGAGAATTTAAGCAGGAAATAAAGGTTTCTCTTCTGCAATAAGCACCTATCTTTTAACTTTGAGTCATATGAGGCAGTTTAGCTGTCGTCACCTTTCTGATATTCAGCCTCACCTGTGGGACTGAGAGCAAGGCGCTCATAATCCACGCCACCGCCAGCATAATCCTGTTCCTTTTCGGGGCCATGCTGATGGTCAGAGGGTTGAGGATGGCCGACTGTCGGTCCAGACTTATCACCACTGTCACAAAGGCGCAGGAGTACATGGCCAGCAGCTTGAGGAACATCAGGAACCTGCAGGCCAGGTCTCCGGCCAGCCACTGGACCGTGATGTTCCACGTGGCGTCCACCGGCATCACGATGAACGTCACCAGCAGGTCTGCCGCGGTCAGGTTGACTATCAGCACCCGGACGTGGGACTTTCGCTTGTGGCTTTTGGTGGCCCAAAGCACAGCCAGGTTGCAGAGGGTGGAGACTCCGCACAGGRTGAAGGTGACAATCACTCGGACTTTGGCTGCCGTGGAGAAGGTGGGCAGCTGAGGACCCCTGTCCACTGAGCCCCAGTTACAGTGAGGGGTCAATGGGTCACAGCTGRCGTTGAGGTCAGATCCCGAGCTCTGCTGATACATGATGAGTGGAGGGTCACAGCAGGAGGAGGTGTTCATCTTCTGACCCTCAGCGAGGAGTCGACATGCTGCTCAGCTGCAGGCAGGCTCGGGTTGCCTCGAGGAGACGCAGCAGAACAGTTGATGAAAATGATGCATTCACCTGCATGTTAGGAGGAAGACGTGTAAGACGCTTGCTGACAGGGATCATCTGAATTATTKAAATTGTAGCAACACTTGGAACGCAGTCACAACAAATACTTTGATAAAAGACGATTTTTAAAATTAGATTATCTGAAGAAAATGTGCTAGTGAGGTTTTTTTATTTGAGAAACTTCTGAATTCAGCAGACAGAATATAAAAAACAAACAAACAAAAAGAAAAAAAACAGAAACTTTAGAAGTTGCACAAACTGAAAAACAAATCAAAGTTAAGAAGTGTGTTACATTCAATTATATTCAAACAGGCTTTAAATGACAGCTTAACAGAAAAAACATGAACGCTTCAGTTCGCATGGTTAAAGATTTTAAAATGTCAGTCTTACCAAAGGTGACAGAGAGCAGCTTAATCCAGAGAAAAGATCAGATTAAATGAAATTATAAAAGGACTGCGGTCCCAGATGCGGCTCTGGCTGCGTGTTTTCTGAGTCTCACAGTCCCACCAGATGCGTCCCTGCACCCCCCCCCC